ATTAAGACTTCATGTGTGTGTGGTTTGGTTTTTAATCCTTCATAGAGAGTCTCACTTGGATTTGCTTACTCTAAACAGGAAAGTTAGATGTATTTCAGTGGTCATTCYGAGCTATTTCCCTGACTATTTGGCTTGTGAATTCTGCAACAGAAACTACTTCAAAATAATACCATGGAAAATAATAACAACAACAAAAATTCTGTTGATAGTATACTCTGTATATGTTTCCTTCTCGAACATAATTTCATCTAAATGTAATTTAAAATGCTGTGTAGTCCATATTAATTTAAAATAAATAGGACATTTCCATCAACAYACCGTATTAGTAATGTGGTTGTGGTAATAACATACAGTCATGCTGTATACCAATTGTAAGACCTTGTTAGCTTTCTTGTTTATATGGTACTAAAGTCCTACACAATTTAAAAGAGTCCCTGACCTCTTACAACATCAGTAACAGGAGTACTTTGCACTCATACAGCACCTTTGATCTCAGAGTGCTTCTGACACATGAATTTTCATTACATCTACATACAGGTAGATGTCTAGGCACACTTCAAAGGCAGGGAAACTGTGCYATGGAAAGGTTACACAACTTGGCACAAATCCCTGGTGAACAGCTGGGAATGTGAACTCTCCCATTACTTGTTTTGAACGTCCAGACAATAATACTTACCCCAAACCCAAGCTTCATAAGGCATTAATCAAAATGTTTAACCCCCTACCAAGTTTGCAAATGGCATGGGCAGACAATAAGCTCACTAATTCTTTTTGATACATTATTCATGACTTGTTCTCCTTTTCTGGCAACTTTCTTTTTTTTTTAAGTTAGAAAAACAACCAAAAAAAACAGCCAAAACCCCCCAATCAAATACATGAAAAGACCTGAAATTACTGCAAAATAACTTGTAACCCAAAACATTTTGCATTTCCTTTATGGCTCCTCTGTTGGATCTCAACCACTACAACATGGGCAATGTATGGCAACATCTCTGCAGGACCAGAGCACCGGAGTGACCTCTGGAGAAAGCAGCAGCAGGGCTGTGCTTGCCCGGTTTTAGTTTCCAAGGGCCCATAAGCCACCGAACACCATGTCTGCATACATAACACTAACGCTGCCAACAGCTACCGACGGCACCACGAACTGACGATCCAGGTCTGGCTACATGATAGCTACACAGTTAAAAAAAAAGAAAACAAACAAAATACCCCTCCTAGAGTTCCCATTGAAAATTAACAGACTRCTGCAGACAGGCCTTGAGATGAAACCACTGCTCCCTGCCTGGCCTTTGCCACCCCATGAGCATCAGGGAGCTACCAGCCACAATTGTAAGCTGTCCTTAGCTCTTCCTAGGGTTGTTCTGCGCTTCTGAGAAGGTTGCTGAATTAATGCACACCTCAGCTCCCCCCCTTTGCAACAACGCTGATGCAAATGCATGCATTCATTACAAGCCAGGCCACCACAATGTATGTGAGCAGCTCTGAAGCTGTGTTAAAAGGAAAACTGATGTGGGTGGTGATGGATTTCTGAGCCCACAGAGTAGCGATGCTATTATTTGCTGGTTGAGTTGTTTGAGGTTGTGTTGTTCTCCGTCACATGGGAGGCATTTGTTTATTTATTTCTGAGCAAGTACATCCAATGGAGGGAGCCAGCATTTTTAATGCAAACTCTGCTCTCCAATGACTGAGCTCTAAATACAACAGTAATTATTGTGAATCTCAGGGTAAGATGTTGAGAGTTGAATGCTCTCAGTGGCAGAATAAAAGGGATCATCTCTCTTCTGGTGGTGTTTGGCTCTTGGGATGAAAATGCTCTGTTGTGTATAGTTGTGTGTGCACACAACTCAGAGAAAAAAATATAAATAGATGTGTACACACAGACACACTGACACACAGAGACACATACTTGAGTGGAGAAGAAACATTTAGCCAAAACATTTGGGATTTTTCCTGAAGGCCATATTCTAAGAATAAAGATATGTAGCACTTAATTTCATAAAAGCCATGTAGCACTGTAAATAAACTGGAAATGCATTGCAGAAGGAAATCAAGAAGGWAGGTTAGAAATGGTTTATCTCTCTAATATTCTGTAATTTACCTGGCCATGCATTAGGGCTACCTTTTTTTAGTACAGGAAAAAAACTCCAGGTATTTGTCTAAGAGACTTTTTGAGGTGAAGAAGTGAGGTCAGCTCACTAGATTGGAGTAACTCTGTAATATAGTCTTGTTCTAAGGAATTGTTGGATTAAAGTCCAGGGGTCAACAGGAGGCTCTTCACTATCTATAGTGGTTCTGAAAGTGACTTCAGGAGCTGAGCTTATTAGCTCTTAAGCACTGCACCAGCATTTTTTACTTCCTGAAACTAAACAGACTTGTCATGCCAAGCATCTTATGTGGGGCGATGGTGACAGCCTTAACCTATGCTCTGCAAACATTWTTTAGCCTTACTGTAAATTCCCCTTAAAGCAGCAAGAAACCTAGAGACAGCTGCATACCAAGGATCTGGTAATTTTCTAGTGATACTTGCTATTGACTACAAACACTCAGCATCCAGAAAAGGATCAGAAAAGCCTCTTCAGGTTATTGGCAAAAAAAAAAAAAAAGCTACGATTCTTTGTTTCTCACTTTTCAATCTCAGCTATCTAATAGTATATGGTTTTGTTAAGAAGGCTTTCAGTTTCCAAATACTCTCCCCACTTGAGGGAGCAATGAACACATTCATGTATGAATACCATACATCAAAAGGGTTTATGACTTGCAGCATTTCTCACACRTCTCTTATTCCCTGGTCAGGCAAGGTCCATTCTCCGCCTAATTTTTTTACAGTCATCTCTTACCTCTGACTTATAGTTCTCCTGTCTCTTTTACAGTATTGTCCAGAGCAAGTAATATTACTTCATGCAAATTTGACTTCCCTTATCATTCTTAGAAATCTTTGCTATCTGCAGGATACATTCATAGGAAAGGGTACAGCAGCCTTTGCAGAGCTATCTGTTGGCACACCCATTCTTCTATGTTGCTTCCACTCAGCCCTGATATTAAAATTATTACAGTGTTGTAAAGCAGGAAGGTGGCTGGCTCAGCAAGCCAAYGTACTTTCGGCCTCACAAGTCCAACAGTAATGTCCTACAAGTGCAAAAAGTWACTTATTGTAACACATAGAGGAAAATAAAATTACTCTCCTTTTGTCGGTAATGAGGAACCCTTCAGACCTAGAGTGGCTTTGTCTCTGCTTCGGTTTCCTGATTTCCAAGTAGGTAAGGCTTGTACAAAAACTATCTTTCCAGTTTCTGCTCCTGAAAGAAGCTAGAGTTCTAGGAGGCTGGATTTCTCCCTTTTCAATTAAATACCTCGCCAGGCTGTCATCTGAGGCAAGGGACAACCCCAGGTCTCCTGAAGGGCCAATYCTATGACTTGGCTGACATTTATCTTGAATCAGGCTGACCTTGTATGAAACAAACTGTATGAATGCACCTGTCATACTCAGTTTGCTGAGTGCACTGCTTTCAATTTAATTTCTACTGTATGTTATTAACATGGCATAGTTATTAGCATTTAAATCATTTCCCTTGTCATTTCTATATTTAGATTCCCCCCCCCCCCGTACGATTTATAGAAGACTGACTTAGTAGGAAAGCATGCAGTTGTTAGACAAGGATGGAACTGTATTTTTTAGTATTGCAGTGTATTTAAAGGACTAGGAATCAAAACGCGATTGACACAGCCATGACAAACATGTGATTAATGTGAGCTATTTTTTCCCACTCTAGTATTTTTCCTTTCACTTTCTTCTTTACCAATGCTTTAAAGCACCCACAAATTTTCTCGTATCTTAAAGGAGCACGGGAGCAAGTGTCTATTCTKCATAGCCAAACTGAGTGACTTAGAACAAGGATAAGGCTATACCTAGTGTGGCTGCCCAGCTTAACACTTGTGACTAAGTAGTAGTGTATACCATCCTACTAAAAACGTAATGACAGGTCCTATATAATGCAGTCTAACACAAGACCAGGGCTTGGACTATCATAAATACAGAAACGTGACAGCAGAGATTTCCCCACACCCCAGSGCAGTGACAAACGAGCACCCAGCGGGGATAGCTCGGGCTATCAAGTCAATCACTGAATATGTTCTCGGTGCAAAGGCAGCAAGCGGGGACTGGGAGGACAAACTGGGACGGCTGCATGGCAGGAGATAGGCTGGCGACGGGTTCGGATACCCCGGGCTGCCTTCTCGGTGCCCATGCCAGGGGACAGCCTTAGGTCACCAACACGGCTACACAACCGCAGCRGTGCTGAGGCGCACGAACACCGGCGGGGGCAGAGGTGCAGCCGGAGGTTCACCTGCTCGGAGCCCTGCCGGGAAGCCGGCCCCTCCCCGAGCGGGTGCGGAGCGGCTCCCCGCGGGATGCCGCTCTCCTCCCGCGGTGCCGCGGCGGGGCTCTGGGCGGCGGGGCCGAACCGCTGCGGCAGCGGCAACGCCAGCGCCGCGGGGCGGGGGAACGCGGTGCCCCTTGGGCAGCGGGAGGCGACAGCCGGGTCGCTCCCCCCGAGCCCCGCTCCAGCCGCCGCCGAGCCGCGCTGCACTGCGCTAGGGGCTGCCGCACCTGAGCGGCCGTGTCAGCGCGGGGATAAACCACAGCCAGCCCCCGGCCAATGCATTATGTAATTTCAGATTATATAATCCTGAAATGCGAGGGGAAAAATTCCCCAAAACAACCCAAACCCCGCCGTCCTTCCCCGGGCATCTCCTGGGGGTGCGGGCAGCCCGGGCTCCCGGGCGGTCGCCGGGGCAGGCACGCCGGCACCGTTCGCCCGCTGCCCCCATCGGCGCCGGGGCCGCAGTCCCCGCCCGCCGTGATGAGCGGGGCAGGACGGCAGGGCACGGCTCGGCACGGCTCGGCACGGCTCCCCTTCCCGGCGGAGCCGCCGATCGCGCCAGCCCGGCGCTGCGGGAGGGCGGGCGGAAAAGGGTCGTTCCCCGGGGAGGCGCTGCCTTACCTGCTCCCCGAAGTCGATGGCGATGTTGGTGATGCCGAGAGGGACCAGGAACCGGATCAGGGGCCAGTAGTTAGTGAGCGCTGGAAATTTCACCATAGTCCCAGCTGCGCGATGACCCGCGGCGCATCTGCCGCGGCAGGAGACGACGCGGGAGGACGGCGGGGGGGAAGGATGAAAGGGCACCGGAGGAGGGTGCGTGCGTGTCCCTGTGCGTGTGTGCGGGCGGGGAGGGGGTGGGGGGGAGATAAGGGCGAAGGAGAGGAGCAGCAGAGCCCCCTAAAAATAAAGAGCCGGGGAGCGGGCGGGGAGCCGGGCCGGTCCCTCCCTGCCCGGCGCGGCGCTGGCTGGGCGGCGGGGCGCGCTGTGCTGCCGCCTCAGCAGGAGACCCGAGAGATCAAGTCCATCCCCGCCGCCCTCCTCCCACACAACAATGATCCGCCGCCGCTGCCGCCGCCGCCGCCGCTGCCGGAAAAAAAAAGAGGAGGGACACCGCCGCCAGCCACTCGTGCGGGCAGCGCTGCCATCCTCGGGGCGCGGGGGCCAGGGGAAGGGCCGGGCCGGGCCCCCCCCCGCCTGACGCTCGCCGGCGGC